GGGAGGGAGAGAAGACATGGTATAGATCGGAGGCAGGTCAGTGTGCGGAGTAATAGTCCGATGGATAGATCCACGGAATGGAGCAATTGACAGAAGATAGTCAAGAACGGCAAACACAGCAGCAAAAGGAAGCAATTGAGAGCAAACAATGCGGAAGTGTATAAGCACCAAAGAGAGTGGCGGTATGCCAGGTCTGCTGGGGGAAATGAATACGCTGCGTATTGACTTGGATGAGGGGCGAGCGGGACTAGAGACAACCCTGTAGCTAACAAGACCAACAAGAGAGAAACTGAACGAACAGCAACCGTTGGGGGAAGAGTCAGTAAAACAGCATATGATTATAGGGGGTTTAAATAGGCAGCAGCTTTCTCCCATAGACCGTTTCTTTTTCTTTAATTCAATTTCACCTAATTCGTATTATCATTTACTTTGTTCCTAACTAACTAGTTAACCAGATGCTGATTAAATTTTTTGTTGGTGCCTGAGGCCATCACCAAGCTCTCCCACGACAAATACCCAGGACGGCATCGATCAGCCAAACACAGAGGACAACACCTGCTCTCCCCGCGACTCCATCTCTGCGATTTAGTTATACGTTATATTGCAAGGCATTTGTAGTACGCTTCTGCAGAGGAAAAGGTGCTCGCGAAATGATCCATTCCATCTGCAATTAATCATACTGCTGCGCGTTTCCTACATTGCTCTTTCGCAGACACTATGGACGATCTTTACGACGAGTAGGTGCTTTTGATTCAAGGCAGCAGCATTTCAGCAGCTCCTGGGCCAGAGTTGCGCTAATGATCGTGTGTTGCGCAGGTTCGGGAACTACATTGGGGAGGCTGAAGAGTCTGAAGAGGAGCTCAGACATGGCGAATCTCGCCCAGACGCATACGCCTACGACCTCGAGTCGGAGGAAGATGAAGAGGCTGGAGAAGGGCCTGCTCATGATCAGCAATTGATGGAGCTAGATGGTAATGATCACTTACGCACGCGAGTTGACTACATTTTTTTGTTTCCGGATATTGAGAAGTGGATGATGAAAGGCTGCTGACACAGATATATCGCAATATCGATACAGAACAAGGTCCTTCGAATGCGGTCATCCTACATGAAGATAAACAATATTACCCAACGGCCCAGCAGGTGTATGGCGAAGGCGTGGAGACGCTTGTCGAGGAAGAAGATGCGCAACCGCTGACCCAGCCCATCATCGCCCCCGTCCAGCAGAAGAAATTCGCGGTCCAGGAAGCGGACCTTCCCTCCGTTTTTTATTCACGCGAATTTATGACTGACCTCCTAAATTTTCCCAACCAAACCCGAAACATTGCCCTTGCTGGCCACTTGCATCATGGAAAAACCGCGTTTATGGATACTCTCGTAATGCAAACGCACGACCTGTCAGAACGGCTGGATAAAAGGATTGGCAGGCGGAAAGATGAGCAACTACGTTATACGGATGTCCATTTTGTCGAGCGGGAACGTGGTTTATCTATCAAATCTGCTCCCATGAGTTTGGTCTTACAAGGCACGCGCGGGAAATCACACCTTTTCAATATCATTGACACACCCGGACACGTAAATTTTGTTGACGAGGTTGCTGCTGCGTTCAGATTGGTTGACGGCGTTGTCCTGATAGTTGATGTTGTTGAAGGGGTGCAGATCAATACGGAGCAGATAATCAAATATGCTGTGCTGGAGGATTTGCCTCTCACGCTGGTCGTGAACAAGATGGATCGACTCATCCTTGAACTAAAACTTCCCCCCTCGGACGCTTATTTCAAATTAAAACACGTCGTCGAAGAAGTGAACACGGTTATCGAACGGACCTTACCTGGCCAAGGCGAAAAGAGGAGATTGAGCCCGGAGAAAGGGAATGTCGCATTCGCCTGCACCAGCATGAATTGGTGCTTTACGTTACAGTCATTTGCGAAGATGTATGCCGACGCCTACAAGGGCATTGATATTGCAGAATTCGGTGCCCGTCTCTGGGGCGATATTTTTTTTAACCCCAAAAGCAGAAAGTTCACCCGCAAGGGCGTTGAAGAGCGCTCGAAACGGACTTTCGTCCATTTTGTTTTGGAGCCTATCTACAAGATCATTTCTCACACCATTTCTGAGAGCCCGGAGGACCTAAAAGAGACTCTAGCCACCCTAGGAATATTCTTAAAACCTTCCCAGCTGAAATCGGACGCGAAGATCCTACTAAAGCTTGTTTGCGAACAATTCTTCGGGCCTGTTGATGGATTCGTTGACATGGTGGTCCAACACATCCCCTCACCAAAGGATAATGCACAGAAGTTGCTTGAGAAATACTACACTGGACCTCTGGATACAAAAGTGGCGGCTTCAATGTCAACATGCGACCAAGACGGACCTTTGGTAATCCAGGTAACAAAACTATACAGCACTCCTGATGCATCCAAGTTCAACGCCTTCGGTAGAGTAATGAGTGGTGTTGCTCGACCGGGTCAGCAAGTACGGGTTTTGGGAGAGGGCTACGCCATTGACGACGAGGAAGATATGGTCATTGCCACAATAGCGGATACTTGGATTGCGGAGACCAGATACAACATCCCTACAAGCGGTGTCCCTGCCGGAAACTGGGTGCTTTTATCAGGTGTAGATAATTCCATAGTAAAGACCGCTACACTGGTTCCCCTGAAACTTGAAGATGATGAAGACGCTTATATCTTCAAGCCGATAAAGCACATGACCGAATCTGTTTTCAAAGTTGCAGTTGAACCCATCAATCCCTCCGAACTCCCCAAGATGCTTGAGGGTCTTCGAAAAATCAACAAGAGCTATCCATTGATATCTACCAAGGTCGAGGAATCAGGTGAGCACATTGTTCTAGGAACGGGAGAACTTTACATGGATTGCGTCCTCCATGACCTCCGCCACCTTTACGCAGAAATGGAACTGAAGGTGTCAGATCCGGTCACTCGCTTCTGCGAGACGGTCGTGGAAACTTCAGCCATTATGTGCTACGCCATAACCCCTAACAAGAAAAACAAAATCACAATGATTGCAGAGCCTCTGGATGATGGAATTGCGGAAGATATTGAAAGCGGACGAGTTAGCATACGCGACCCCATCCGCAAAGTCGCTCAGTTTTTCGAGCAGAACTACGACTGGGATAAACTGGCTGCGCGGAGTATTTGGGCATTTGGGCCTGAGGAAATGGGG